GTAGTTGATGATCCTTAAATGATAATCTTGACCTTAAATGATAAAAAAACATCTTGAATAAACATTAATAGTTTTAGGATTTCAACAAGAAAAATAATAATTTCATTTCAGAACTTTTGCAGTACAACAATCTATTTCTAAAAATCAGTCATGATGAGTATCATATCATTTATTCTGGCATAAAAGAAAACTACTTTTAGTTACTAGAGATCTCAATAAAGCTAAGGATCATCAACTATACTCATATTTTAATGATGAAAGTAATCATAACTATAAAGGAAAACCAAATTTCAATTTTATACTAGAAACTACTGACTTCAAGATAAAAATTGTGTTAGCTAGTAGCCTCGAACTATAGACACTAGCTTCTTATAACCAAGTTACAAACTTGATTTCCATCTTTTTCTTTCATTACCACTGAATTAAAAAGGAAAATTAATAAAATAAAGTAAAGAATTAAAGTATACTCACGATTTTGTCTATGAAGAAGAAACCAAAATTATCACTTTAAACACTAATATGTATAACTATTAAATAAAAAGTACCTATTAGTAAACTAAATATATTACTAAAACAACATAATTAAACTTTTAAACAAAATATCACTAATAAAATAAGAGTCTGTGAAGATGAAACCTATCACTGAACATTAAACCTAAACTACCACTTTAAACACTAAAACGTATAACTATCCAATAAAAAACTACCTATTAATAAACTAAACATATCACTTAAACAACAAAATTAAGCTTCTAAACTAAAATACTGCCAATAAAATATGAAAAATTAACGGTTTTGAGGTGCCTATGGAGCAAAAAGTGGTGGGGGATTGAGATAGCCTAACATAACTGTAACGTAAATGTAAACAATCCTCTAGAATAAGCGTCCCCACTCCTCCCCAAAAGGCTGCGGGCATCATCGAAATTATTACCACCTTTTATTCCCATCTTCAGAACTGCAATAACAATACTCTTGTGGATGCAAGGCTAACAATTTTGAACAAGTTGAAGTCCATTCTGTTTGTTTGTGCTATGTTATCCTGATTGTTTTCGTTTGTTGGATTTGTTTTTTCAAAAAATTTGGTGATGAATAAGTTAAGAATTCTGTTGCTGGTACTCTCTTTTTTTGTCCATTTAGTAAGTATCTGTCCTTTGTCCATAATTATGTCCATATCCAAAAATCTGAGTCTATTGTTTGTGGCTTTTTCTATTGTAAATTTGATCCTTTTGTTGTACTGGTTGAAGCTTTTCATTATTTCATTTTCCGAGTCTTTTTTTATTATGAGTAATAAGTCATCTATGTATTTCTTAATTAACAGTGTTTTTTGTTCTAAGTTAGTTAGTTGTGTTGTGATTAGGTTGTTTAAATATATGCCACTTAAATTCGTTGATAGAGTACTTCCCATCCCGACTCCCCAGAGTTGTTTATAGAATTCAATGTTGTATTTGAAATAATTATTTCTTGTACAGAGATTTATTCCCTCGATAAATACTCTTTTGTCTTTGATTTTGGTTTCACTTTTTACACTGTCCCAGTTGTCGTCAATAATTTTTATACATTCATCTAATGGGATATTAGTGAAAAGTGACTCAGCATCTAAACTTATGATTTCTACATCTTTTGACTCACATTGGAAATTTTTAATTATTTCTTTCAATTCTTTAGCATTTTTGATGTCAAAGTTATTATTATTATTGAGAGAGTTGAGAGAAGGGTTTAGGAATTTGGAGAGAGCTTCAGTTGGTCCATCTATGTTGTTTATTATGGGTCTTAGTCTGTTATCAGTTTTGTGTAGTTTTATGAGGCCATGTATTCTAGGTGTAGTGGAGTCTGAGGCTGAAAGTTTATTTTTAATGTATCTGTCTATGTACCCTAGCTTATGGAGTCTGGAACTTATGGAGTATACCCTACCAATTATTGGTCAAAAGGAGAATGTTGCTCTAGATGATAAATTTTAGAACATAAATTAGAAAATTGACGATGGAGCACATTATTATTATTATTAGAATTAAGGTAATTACAAATTTATTGTAACAAACATAATACAAATATGTAATGTAACAAGCACAATATTGTAACTTAAAAAATTTTTAGCCTTGCATCCACAAGAGTATTGGAATTGTAGTTCTGAAGATGGGAATAAAAGGTCTCGAAACGTAAACTAGACTGTTAACATGTAACGTTAAAAATATACTCGTATTGTTAATAATTGGAAGTTATCATTGCCAAGCAACTAAATAAATTGACAACTTCCCGGGAAAAAAAGAAAAAAGAAGATTTATTTATTTTTTTAGTTATTTAAAAAATAGCAGCTCGAATTGAAAGTATCTGACATCCTTTCAAGAGTTACGTGCTTTGTAATATTTTCGGTTGAATGGACTAGTTCTCAATTTTCCACAAACGTTGTTCCTAATTGGACTATTAGTTTTCGAAAATAGATAAATTTCGTATGCATGACCGAAAATAAGGAATGGGGTTTAATAAAATTGATGCGTGGTTATCTGGTTACCAACCTGCACAATAACTGAAAGTATCTTGAAATTGAATTGGAGGGGTTGACTTTTATTTTGTGGCGGACTCTCGAAATGAAACTTGACCCTCTCACTCTGGTTAGAACAGGTTTGGTTGTCTAAAATGGTCGGAAGGGGTAGGGAGTTATCCAATAAAAAAACGTCTGCCAAGTAAGGCCAGTATAGCTTCCTCACCGTTTCCGTTGTATATTACAAGGTATACAATTTTTCTTATGAGAATAAAATCTCTGAGAGAAGCAGAATCGGAATAGTCGATTACAGTTAACCTTCAACATTCAACAACAGAGGGTCGTATTTGAATATTCCATACTTGATTATGCTTAATAAAAAAAAAAATAAATAACAAAAAATGCATACTGAACATGAATTTCAATACTGTTAGTTCAAAAGGTCTTATGTATAAATTTACTTATTGTTTTACAAGAGTGCATAAAAACTCAATATTTCTTTATGCTTTATTAGAATAATTTCATATTTTATTTTCATCTGCTATTTTCCATAGTAGCAGACTACTTATATCAGTTGCAGACTACAAAATATCACCTTTAATACACATAGAATTAAAAATGAAAATTATTACATACGAACTTATGCTCTAATAATAGTATATACATTACCGAATCAAGATTTAATTTTGGAGGAGGGGCTTCAGCACGAAAGATTTATTTATTTATATATATATATATATATATATATATATATATATATATATATATATGTATGTATATATATATACATATATAACGATAATTAATTTGAAAAAAACCACTGCAAATCATTTCTCTTTGGTATATTATTTCCAAACAATTATACATATAAAGTAACAGTAAATTCCTAGTTATAAAGAAAAATAAATAAAAGGTGATTCTAATTATTCGACTAAAATTTTTTTTAATCATTAGTAATATGCTAAAAAAAATAGTATTACTTCAGTAACACATTCAGAAATCAAAAAAAAAGATAAACCTTTTGCAATAGCACATCTAAAAAAAACTAGAGACCATATCTTTGCTCCTAATTGTCCGATTTTGACGAATTTTTTTTGTTTTTTTGGAAATTCCGTAAACTTCTAAAAAACCATCAAAATTGGTACATTCGTTTAGGCGCTACAGTCTATAGCAACGCAGGTTTTTCGGCCACCATTTTGAAACTAGAAGGCGAATAGTAATGTCGTTGAAGGAGGATGATCCTCGGGTGACCTCTGATTTTATATCCAAATTCGAAAAAAATCGGTCTAGTAGTTTCAGAAAAAATGCGCGGACGGCGAACTAGTAGTGCACATATAAGAGAAAGTGTTGGACACAATTCAATGAAATTGAAACTACATTATTTTTTCACCAAATCGAACGAGCCCTTTCTGAAATATTGGCAATCTAAAAATATACGTTTGCGCGTGCGTAAGCGGAAATGCTGGATGGAATTTGATAAAATTGATATGGGACCATCTAGGCACCAATCAGCATAATCCCTGAAAATTTCATGAAGATTGAATGAACGGTACTAGGTGATATGCCCGTCACATCGATTTGACTACAGACAGACAGACACCGAACCAAATTTGATCCTTGATGTCTGAAACGTAAAACGCGAGTGAAAATTTTCGATTCTGAGCAAAAAAATTTTTTTAATCTCTCGCACGAACACAATGCTTCCCTACCTTCGGTAGTGAGGAAGCAAAAAAAAAGCGAAGGTAAGATTAGAAAAATCGTAGATCTTATACAATTACATTTGCTGCGGTCTGTTCCATGTTTTACCTTTGTCCCTTAGTATGAAAATTCATAAGCCAAAATATGCCCCCCTCAAAAATTTTGACCTTTCTTGATTTTGATTCGAAATCTTTTTTTTAGAAAAAAATTATTATTATTACAATTTATATGAAATACAATATGTGGATAGAACAACTTTTAAAAATTATATTTCTCGAATTTTCGGCAAACGTTTTTTATTATATTATATTTTATTTTATTTCAAATTATTTCGGGGAGGGCAACGGTACCTCTGTCCTTCCCAGTGTACGCTCATGCTTAAAAGGCTTCTAATAACAGAAAGTTTGAATGTGAATTTAAAAATGTATGTTATTCTAAGTAGAATGAACCTTACCTTTCGTTCTGAAGCACCAAATTTCATAAATATTATTAAAACAATTATACTGGTATGAGTATAATTTGCCTTTTTAATCCTTAACTTGTTGGGGTTTTATTTTTTATGCTTCAAGTGATGTATGTAAATAAAACATTCATATTCCACAATAGCTATTCCTAGAATCTAAAACATTCTTTATCAGAAATATATATTGATTATTAAACATTCTTTCATTATTACATTTTTGTCGAAATAATAAAAATATGGATTGAAAAATAAACAACATATGGAACTTTCGTATAAATATCTCAATTCATAATATTGATCAGATTTTAAAATTTGAAATATATTTGGTATCACTTTATTAGTTGAAAGAAATCCATCAAAATGGCTAGAAGGAATTTGGGAATGAAACTACTTGACGATAGATGGGTTCTTACTGATCAGCTAATTCAGTTGAAGGGTGTTGTCGAGTTCAATGGTACGTACTCTTAGAAGTATTATATCTTCTTATAACGTCGTTTTGGGAGTTCCAATGCTTATATTATTAATAAATTTTAATGTTAGCACATTTTCGGTTTACATTTTTTTATTATTTTTAATGGCGTAAAAGAATATTTTTTATTTTTTTTAATCTTCTCCAATGGACTTAAATCTGAACTTTGAACATATTTTTTTCCCATTTATTATAATTTGAAGACGTTTTTTACATATTTTTGATTTATTATTTTCAATAATCAACCATTGAAATCAGCCAAGAAAAAGAATTAATCCTCTACTCAAAATTTGTGGTTTTACATTTCAAGATAGATAGAACCTGAAAATCGAATAAAAAAAATCCGCCCTCCTTACTTTATTTATTTATTTGTTTTATTTTCCTCCCTACCCTGCCTTTAAGACAGTACGGGAGATTGCAGTAGTGACTTGATTTACATTCCTGCGTAACAAAACACTGTTGCAAGTTTATCTTTTTACATTATGATAAATTTATGAGCACACAGCCTGCTTGATAATTTTTCTCTAATTTTATCTGTCTTTATCTTCTTCTCCTGTCCTAATCAGCGGCGTTCCAGGTAGTGCTTCTTCACGCCTACCCAGGGAGAAGTGGATTGGCCCCACAGCTTTTTTCCACCGGCATACAAAGCTTTTAAAGTGCGGGTAGTTTAGTTGAGACATCAGTTGGTGATAGTTTCTTTCTGTTAAAATGTATCCCTCATCAATTTGGCCCTCAGTACCTCATAGCTGCTACAGGCTACAAGTATGTTAGAGATGAAATCCGCCCTCCTGCCGTCCGCGGCTTTCCGATACTATTGGACCAATTGTTTTGAGATTCGGTATCAATGTCAAAGGGCACTCAAGGATGATCCTCGGAACTCGTTATTACCATCCGACCTTTCCTTTCAAGATGGCGGCCGAAAAACCTGTGTCGCTATAAACTCTAGCACCTAAACGAATGTACCGATTTCGATAAAACTTCGCAAAAATCTCCTTCTTTTTTATTTTTCTTGATTTCTTTTTCTTTCATTGACCATCATGTTGCATTGCACTCTGAAGTTGAGGTACTTAAATCTCTATCATTCGGTTCTTACTGCTTATTCCATTTCCACATATCGTATTGTCTCTACTTCAGCATAACTATTGTAATATATTTGAGTCTCTCAGGAAATTCTTATAATTTTTATTCATTTGTCTCTTTCTGAACATATGAATTTCCTCATTGGTCATCAACAGCAGTGTACCAAACCAAATTGACTACCCTGCTCATTTTCTGCTCTACTATTGAATTCTCCCACTATACTTAGTATTCTTTGCGATCATTCCACAGCATTCTGTAATTTAATTTAATTCTTATGTTAATAGCATGGCTTGAAATAAATGTAATGAACGCTATTGTAAAAATATGTGAATGTATTGTATGTCTCGCTAGTGTTGATGTAAAGGACAAGCTGTTTTTTATACTTTTATACGAAGATAAATGTCAACTTCGAATGCTAGGCTTGACACAACGCCAGGCAATTTTTACGATTATAAGATTAGAGATACTAATGGTCTTCCATAATAAATTATATTCAACACCTTCATTAATTAAGTAATTTCTAAAAACAATAGAATCATAAAACAAAATTTTACGCGGTATTGATACATTAAAAAAAAAAAAATCCAACTCAAAATGGAACATTAGAGTCTAAAAAAGTACTTATGTAAATGATGAATTTAATGTATTAGTCAATCCTATTCATTACGAGTGATCGTAATCAGCCGGCACCAGATTTATTTCTACAATTGAATAACCACTCATTTTATTTTGAACAGAAAGAAACATGAGATGGCTCGAAGTTAAAGAGGATCTATACAGAAAAGACTATGATACCAAGATACGACATGTCAGTCAGAATGTTGAGAGGCTAAGAGAAATGATAAAGAAATACGAGTTCGGTTATGTCGACGAAATGGATGATGTTTTAAGGCAAGATAAAGAAGTATACCTGATATGCCGAAAGAAGTCGCCAGAAGTACGTTTGTAATAGTACAGAACTTAATATACACATCGCCTGTAATAAATATATCCTAGATGAAATTAAATAAGTTTAATTATTAATTATAAAGAGGACTAGCTGATGTACCCGTTGTTGACGGGTGTATAGTTAAAATTTGAGAACCTTTTTTTGAGAGGGATTTTGTATTAGGGGGGGGAGGGGAGGAGGAATCTGGAATTAAATTTAATTACATAAAATTGGGTGAGGTGGAGGAGTTGCTTTGACAATTTATGCCGGGGCTTATGGAAGTAAAGGTTTCACAATAGTCATAATAAAAACTTTGTTGTTCAGCTGAGCTTACCCCTGACAAAATTTCGTTGGGCAATGCGGACATACACAAATTTTTTTTTTTAAGTCGATTTTGTGTCTGTGATGTATGAAACGGAAAGATATCATGAAACGGGTCGATTCTGTTCAATGTACAGACAAAACCTTTATTTTATTTATATAGATTGAGCGAAATATTTCGTGTTTAACTTGTTCAGATATTTAAAACTGAGAGTAGTGCGAGAAAATATTTTGAGTAAAATGGATTAAATGTTTCCAATTAGTCACAAAGGTGCTTGAAAATTCTACTGAAAACACAAAAGAATAGTATTATTCATAGAAAAAAAAAAATATTACCACGACCTAAAAAGAGATGTTGCCGTGATTCATTTTTTACAAATTTCATAACTTTTCAACAGTTAGGAATAAAATACTTCCAAACATAAAGATTTACAAACACGTTTTCTCGAAAACTAACATTTATATGGATATATAATCATTTGGTAGAGTAAATTCTCTAAAAAATTTGAATGAGATCAGCTAAATTAATTATTAAATATAAATATATAATTTCAAACGAACTTGAAATTTACAACAGATAACTTACAACGATTTACTAAATATCAAACCATTTGTCTGTTAACAATTTATAGATTTAATTAAGTTTAATAATAAAATTATTTAGTTATACTGTAATTTTGATGCTCAATTAATAAAATTATTATTGCAGCAAATCATAGAAAGTTTAAAACATATGATATTCCGGCAAAGGAAGGCAGTAGATAAAATAAATGCAGAGATAAAATCAACTAAGACTGAATTATTCGAAGTGGAAGCAAGTATAAAAACTTAATAATTCCTTTCATACTCCAGCTCTGTTAATCTATTTCCTATTTTATTTATTTTTATTCATTCTAGCTGAATATCGCCGCATTAAAAGATAAAGTAAATTCAGGACAGGAATATGTGAAAGATAAAAATAGAGAGGAAAATGAAAAATATTCTGCCGCCTTAGAATATGCCAAAACGCAGAATGACGTCTGCGCCATACTTCTAGAGTGTTATAAGAAGATCATTGGCGTTTTAAAAAAGGTCTCACTAAATCTATCTATAGCTCTAGCTATTTCTCAAATCATAAAATATAATATAAAGATAAAAATAAATCTATATAAAACAATAATAACTGTTGTTGGACTCATATTTTGATTTTGTATGCGAAATTACGAATAAAACATGATATTGTAGGACCTGACTTGCCTGAAGGAATTTATTTTATCCATATACCACCCTATTATGTAATATGGATGTTTGGAGCAGTGACATATTAAGAGAAAAAATTCACCGCTTCGTTTAAACAGTTAACAATTTCATTCTTAGCTGTGTACACATTAGCTCACTCTCTTCTTCTTGGCTTCGCTGAAAGATTGGTGGTCAGTAACTTCTCAAGTGACCTTTCTGAAAACTGCTCTCCTATCCAAGAACAATTGATTTCGACTTTTGAATATTTCTTACACATGTACATCTTTCGGCCACCTCTAACCACCCCACAAGTATACTGTAGCGACAACAAAAACAGTCATAAATAAATATGTACTTATGGCACGTTTAAATAAAAAATAAATCAGTATTTTGCGTATTAACTAGATATATTTTGAGGTAATGTAAGTAAAAATCTGGTGTGTCCACTCACACGACTTTCCTACCTATTTTTTAGTTAGAGTTAGGCCCCATAACATTTTTCTTTTCTTTGTAACTATTTTTCCTCAATTTTCTCGGGAATTTAGTTCATAAACAAAAATTGTAAGAACAATTATTAGAACATTATAGGAAAGTTTCATCAAAATCGTAAGAGCCGTTTTTGCGTTACAGTCTATAGAAAAACATGTTTTTGGTTTATTGCGCGCAAGCTATTGCGCAAGGAGCGCCGAATTTCTGTCACACGCATCAGTAGTCAAAATCCTACAAAAAAAAAGCAATAAAATCGGTTCACTAGTTCCCGAGAAAATCTTGGCACAGATAAACAGACAGACAGACAGAGCAATGGCTAAAAATGTGTTTTTCGGACTCCGGGGGGCTCTGAAACGTATAGATCCGTCGAAAACCGTAAATCGGAAATTTGACTCGATTGTAATACTTTCCTTACCTAGTATAGGTAGGAAAGTAAAAAAGAAGCAACAAAATCGGACCATTAGTTCTCCGAGAAAATCTTGCCACAGACAGGCAGACCAATGGCTAAAAATGTGTTTTTCGAAATCAGGGGGCTCTGAAACGTATAGAAAGTAAAAAGAATTGTCAATCATTGTATCCACCATTGACATCAACGTACACCTGGCTGAACATTTTGGTGTAATTCAAAGAAACAAGTAAAAATAAAAAGTTTTCTTTTCATTTTATATTTTCGCAGTAATCAATATTCTTTACAGAAAATTTTCCCAAAATGGCGTGGAAATATTGTTCAATATATATTTTAACTTATCTTGACATCTCATGGGAAATAAGCTACCCCTTTATATATATTACTAGTTGTATAATTTCGGCTTCCTAGTATATGTATGAAAAGTATTTTGTAGGACTCGCTTTACTTCGATGATGTGATAGCAGACCTCAAGAATGACGCCATGATACAGAGCCAGACAATTCTAAAGATTATCGAGCTCGGCCAGCTGGCTTGCGAAGATTTTTCTTGGCTGAAGGAGCAAGCCAAAAGAAGTACCGTCAAGTTCAACAGGCACACAGATGAGCACAGAAAAGAAATAAAGGAAAACGGCGAGGTTATCCAAGTTCTGGAAATGATGAAATCTAGACTCAACGAGTACGCCGTAAGTACTGACAGTTAACCAATTCCCCGCACTTTTATACAAGGAATAGTTTGCTATATATTAATTAGCGTCTGTGTTACCTTTAACAAATTTATATTATATCTGCTCTATTCCTTTTAACACATAATATATGTATATTTTTATATGTTAAATAAGTTGCACTCTTTTCAAATTTTGATGTTATGCGTTTCAAGATATTTTGGACCGCAAAATTAATAAAAAAAAGAAATTCTCTGAGCCATTTATTATCATTTTTTTTCCATACTAGGCCCCAGACCAGGCATCAGTAGAAGATGATTCTGCGAACTCCACGTTATCATTGGCTATTTCGTATCAAAATAGTGGGTTTCATACATCCATATCTCAGATACCCATATGTACTTTTTTAAAATACGGGACTAATATAAAGTTTTCATTCATTCATTCATTCGTTCATTATAACAAGGCTTAAAAATATTAAGAAAGATAAAATAATATGGTTTTTATTAGTCATATTAGTGAAACTATAAGAAATAGCCAGGGCTGCCCCCCTCCCAAGGTCCTTGGAGCAAGAACCTACCCTCCTCCCTTCTCATGATATTTTATTTCTCACTTTTTCTTAAAACAGAGCAAGCTAAGGTAGAATTAGAAAAAGCGTAGATCATATACAATTACACTTGCAACAGCTCGTTCTGTGTTTTATCCTTCTACCTTAGTCCGAAAATTCATAACATCGTCGAAATTTCACCCCCTTCAAAATTCAAAAACTCGTCAAAATATACCCCCTCAAAAATTTTGATGCCGCACCTTGGCGCCATGAAACCCTCTTCTGGGCATCCCTGGGAATAACCGATAGGTTTATAGGGAAGAAAGGAATTTAGTGCCTTTCTGAACATATTTAACAGTATTGCTAATGCATTGCGCGAGATAAACGCTATTATAGGCTTTCATTTCTTCTTAACAGATAAAAGTAACTATTTTTATTCTATTTCTTTGAATAATTGTTGTTATATATTTAGAGATAAAGTATTAAGTGCTTTTCCTCGTTATAAGTTATTAATTAGTAGCAATTACTTTGTATGTAGATAATTTTATATTGTCAAGGTGGCTGTTTTTTGTTTTTTTGCAAAAGAAGACGTTGGGTGCCACTGTGACATATTTTCTGATAAAGTTGTGACTCAAATATTTTTTTTTGCTTTTAGAAACCTACAAAATGCTCGAGGAAGGTTAAAAGTTGATTCTTACACAAATTATGCCTTATATGTTTGTCCTTGGGGTGGGGTCGGTTGTGACATTTTCCTTTTATTTTTGTTTCTAATCCTATGACATAACAAGTTATACATATGGACAAACTTTTAGTATTTATAAATAGTATTTATTCAATTGCATAGTTTGCAACAAAAAGAAAACAAAAAAAAAACACCTTTCTTCTATCTAATTCGTATACTAATAAAATTGAGGACGATTAAATAAAAATTGGCACAACCGTACCCAGCCACCCCTACAATGATTTCCAAACACCATTTTGTTGTTCATAAGGGTTAATTTTTTTAAAATAATAAGTCATTTTTATTTCTCCTATCCATTATTTCACAATTTGTTATTATTTATTCTAATTTAATTCGTCAATATTTTATAAACGAAATGTATACATTTTTAACTCATTCCAAATTTCATGAAATTAACGACCTACTGATAATTAGGCGAAAAGTTATCCAATGTTTCAAGAAGAAAAACAAGTGCCGAAAGCAGACCCGGAATTGGACGAAATGAAGAAACAATGGGAAGAATCCGAGAAAATCTTTGGAAAGTTGAAGCACATCCTTGGAGTTGAAACCATAACAGATGTCTTCTCTGAGTAATTATTTTAAATTTACTCATATTACTAGGTTGGCGTTGTCTGTTTGCGATAATGGTATCTTATTGAAATATACGGGAGGGCAGGTTTCACTTCTTAATGTAAATGTAGTGTGTTGACATTTTACAGAGTTCAAACGTATTTTTCACATCCTGAACCAATCTTGTAGTTTGTATAAGAGACTACCTAAGACTAACGCTTGATAGAGGACTGACTTTGTACCAAACATTAAGAAAAAACGTAAACATTTAAATGGACGAATTAAACTGTGATACTCATTACTCAGATCACAATCAAAATTAAAACTAATACAGAAACTTGCTACCTACACATAACTACTGAAACCAATTTGGTCTTATGTTAATCAAATTTTTGGTTTTGCTAATCAAGTTAAACAATCCAAACATTTCAATCCAAAATGTTTAGACTTATTAAACACATAGCGCGAATTGACACACTGACCAAAGTCAGGGAATACATACATGGACTCCAAACAAAAGAGTTCATGAAAATTTACAAAGACATAACAATAAGCTAGTAGTAAGAATGGCCACTACTAACATGTCTGACAAGATCATGAGGAGCCTGAAAAGGTCGTGGATGAAATACCTTCTGCAAATTATATTTTGAGTCTGAAATATTAAAATGGAAGAGATACCGCTTGGTGTATTTCTTACTCATGCCTGACATGTCATTATTAATTTGTTTCAAATGTTGCCACACAATCCACTGATTTTCAATGATATATTAGACAGGTGTGGATATAAAAAGAAAGTTATACTGGGTTGGAACATATTATTTATTAGCAATGCGTCATTTAGTACAATTATGACTGATTAAAAGAAATCCCGATAATCACAGTTATGTGTTTTGATTATATTTTTCGATGCAAAAACTCAAGTACGTCAAAAAAAGGTTCAGTGAATGTTTAATGTCATACATACTATTCTGAATTTAAAAAGGGATGTTTTCAGCAAGTTACTTTGTGATTTTATGTAATAAAATGTTACTACATAGTTTTTCACAATAAACGAACAATATAAAATTTCAGTTCCTAGGGTATAGTATGTATATTTATAAGTGTGTGTGTGTATACATATATATATATATATATATATATATATATATATATATATATATATATTTAGATTATCATTGGATATAAATAACAATTTAAATAAAAGTTGTATTTAGGTATTAATAGAATAATTACATACCTACTCAGCCAGTCGACTTTTATTATATACATATATATCATCATCTTATCCAAGGATTTCATGATACGATTACTCCCCAATTTTCACGTGATATTCTAATCAAATTTTCCGCGACAAACTATTTGGAATGTGTAAAACGTATTATTTTTTATTTGAGGTTGTACACACTAAGAAACAAAAAATATTTTTCACTTTTTACATTATTAATGTTTTGCTGAAAAGTTCTAGAAATGAACCAATGTTATGAAGGCTATCTCACCTCTCACTGTGTTCAATCTAAACAAATACATTATTAATTTGATTGTATTTTATTAAAGATATCAAGTACATATAACAAGTAAAATAAAAATTCTTATAAATATAAAAACATAGAAACAAATTAATTTTAAATATCCAATATTATATTTGTTCTCTTCACAATAATTATATGAAATTTAAAAAGCACTAATTTTTTTTTTTGGTCTACAGACCCCTCTCCCTTCCCAATCAAAATCGAAAGTGTGCGCTTATGCTTTATACAAAACTACCCTATGCTATATAAATACAAAGATAAAGCCTTATCATTTTTTAACTTACAGAATGGAAAATCTGAGAGCAACTGAATTTGAATTCGACAAATTGACTCAGCAATTAAGGGACAAAAGAAAGAAGAGGCAGACAGCTTACGAACATACAAAAACATTATCTATACACATGGATAATTATATGCCTGAAGAGGTCAAAAGGTACGTGCATTACAAAAGTCAGTTATAATACAATTTGAAATACTTATTCATTTAATCAATACCCAATTTTAAGATACAACCTTTCTAAAAGGTTTACAATGATTTTCAAGCGAACCGCTGGATCGATTTTTAAGTTTAACATCTTAAATTATTCGAAAAGATCCTCTGAGTGATTTGAAAGGATTTGAGAAGGAGTTGACCGCACCCCCCGATCAACTCCTCATATTATATCACGGTCAACCATCTCAACATCGTTATGAAAGAGTTTGAGCTTAAAATCCTGACAAATTACAGTATAAAGTGTGTTTAGTTAATCCACTAAAAGGTATGTTATGATTTTTGGAGGGAACTGCTAGACCAACTTTTAACTTGGGCGGCCGTAATTACTCGATCAATTCCCGTCAATATTTTAAAACAATTAAGTAAAAATATTGAAAACAATCTCACTATAGTCTTAAGTATCTCGATTATTAGTTGATTTTGAAATAATATATGATAATATGTTATGAAAATAAATTGTTAATACTTTTAAAAACTGAAAATGTTAAAATAATTCAATTGAATATAACATATTTTTAAGGGGCGGAAAATTATACAGATCTACATAAACATATAATTGGATTCCCAGTTAGAGTCTATGGATATTGAAACATGGGTGAAGTGTTCGGGTACCTCTTACATCACATTATAGCTCTATTTGTTCCATACCTGTCAATATTAAAAAAACTCCTAAAATCGTAAGTTGTATAAACACAAAGAAGGTAAATGAATGTATTGTCAGAAGAAGCACAGGCGGATCCACGTGGAGGAGGGGAGGCTTTCGGTCTGAAGCCTCCTACCCCTCCCTCCCCCAATGGTAAATGTAACTATGTTTTGTGGAAAAAAATATTTAAAAAATATCTCTTAAAATATTGTTGTTCGTGTAATTAAATTTGATAAGACTTCAAGAATCACTTAAACACCATTTCATATAGGTAGTTATTATCTTTCTTTTTTTTTCCAAAGTAATTATCGTTATATATATGAAAAAAAAGCTTCTTGGCCCCAAAATTAAATCCTGAATCCGCTAGTTGTCAGAACAGTTTAGAGTTTCGTTCGGGTGTGGAACACATCCGAATGCTTCACCAAGTTTTAATATTTAAAGCCCTCCGAGGCGTCTGAAAAGAAGATGGCCTCGAGATCTCCTTTTTTAAATACATTTTTAGAGTGCTACCAGTGGGTAGTTTCTCACCAAATGATTTCATGTTATTATATTCTATTGTACACATTTACTGAATGTATTTTTACTTGTAATACAGTTGTAAATATCATTAATAAATAAATAAAAAATATTTAAAGACACATATATGTAGATGTAGATATGCATCATTTTCCGTCCTTTAAGAGGAATAGAGTTATTTGCTTAGTTTTTTTTTTTTTTTTATAAGGACAGTTTTCTAAACTAATAGTGGAGACCGTTAAAGGTCAAGCCACTAGACCTTAAACTTTTGAACTGTAATTCAATTCTCGTTGTTGTAGATAATTTACTGATTTATTTATATTATTTTTCTCTCAGGTAGAGAAAATTGGCTAGTGATGCAAACATTTTTAAAATAATGCATTCTGACCATTTTTCAAAAATTATTTCATAAATAGTTTACAAATAATCATATAATATAAATATTGTAGTCAAACTATCTGCGTATATTTTCTTCTTATATGACACTATGTCACGCGTGGAGACAAGGCTTGTTGTAGCTTTGACTCTCTCATCCCAATTCCTGCATTGTCGCATTCCAGTTCCGGACCTCAAGCATGGATCGGGCACCAGCATGATACGTCATCAATCCACCGCAACCTTGGTCTTCCTCTTCTCCTTTTGCCAAGATTTCTTCTAGAAGGATATTTTTTTAATCTGATCTTCATAAATTCTTACAACAACTCAATAATACCATCATAAGAACCACCCACTATCCTCTTTTGTTGAAACATTCCACTATTAGGCTGTTTCCGAAACCAGGCAACCTCCCAACACTTCGACGTCCTGCAGACCAATTAGCCTACTTCCAATCCTCTCAAATATCTTTGAAAGATCCTCCTGAAACGAATTCTACCCTTTATAGAATCCCAAAATCTTCCTTCCCATCAGTTCGGATTTTGTTCACAACAATCCACAGTTCAACAAGAACTCCGAGTGGTCAATCATATTTATATATGATATATCATACATGATATATGAAAGAATTTGATAATTAAATAAAGGAGTTATTAGAGATCGTAACGGAGAATAGTTGTAATTCAGGAACCAAGGAATACGAACACACCCGAGATCGCCCGAAAGATTATAACACGTTTTCATACGTAACATGAGCTTAATATAATAAGGACTGCGACAATATTATGTAATAATAAAAAAAAAAATATATATATATATATATATATATATATATATATATATATATGTGGTTTTCTTAAATGCTATTGTTGGTATTATTTAATATTTAATTGTATAGATTACACAGCTATATAAACATTAAAATTTGTATATATGAGTGTAATTACACAAATAAAAATACCCACAGTGAAATATAAAGCAATATAGCTTTTATAATTTTTAATTTCACTTCTCCTTTATCTGAAAATACTTTTTTCTGTTAAGAAGAGGGTGGTAAGTGAAAGTTGTGTGATGCACGCACCTCACTAGATTTTTTAATTTGTTGCTGCTTGACTTTCTTGATCATACCAAGATTTATTCCTTCTTCTTTCCACGGGTTCAAGTATTTCATTAGATTCTCCAGCCATTGTTTCTTTGCATGACATCCAAGACTGGTTTCCCTTCGGATCAGTGTATCACATTATTTTATCCATGTGATTAGAAAATTGCTTACTGATGTCAGTATCTGTTTTTGAACTACACATTTTACTGGTAGTGTATTTCGCTACATACGGAAAATAAAAACCCTTAGCCTTATTCTTAATATCAAGATATAATGGTATGAGTCTATAAAAGACCTATCTGTGGACCCTAATATTCATTAAGCTAGAAACGAATCTTGTACTTATTAGAATATTGTCTATTTCATTGCTTGTAAAACCATCATTTGGCCTCCAAGTAGCCATGTGTATCCATGTGTGTCACATTGTGGAAGTAGCTTTTGTAAAGCTCCTGGTTTTTAAAGCGATAACATTTTCAAGGAAGTTAGTTATAAGTCCTTGAGACGAGCATTATGTCGGTTTCCAATGATCTGTGCGGCTGATCTTTGTGCAGGTTTTGAGATATGGGGAAATTAAGGGGAGCAGGTTATCAGCCTAACGCGCTACTACCCCTCTTGGGTGGCTACCTGGGAACGTAAAACCTAGAGTGTGTACTGTAGTGCCTTAGGCTGTAGTGTGAGGATGAATGTAGTGTGCTGTAATAGTGTACTTGGTGAATGTCAGTGTTCTTGTGTTCAGCCAACCGGAAGGACCAATGGCTAATACATTAGGTGGCCGATAGGGCCGTCACCTCCTTTCGCCATTGCATATTATAATTTTTATTATAAATTAATATTGTAAGGTCGCCTATATATCCTATTGATGTCATCTGATTCAAGTAAACATACTTATTGTTACAGATTTATCAAAGAAGAAGAAGCGGTCAGAGAGGAAATAGAAATGACAGCTGAAAACATACAAAAAATTAAAGTCATTCATGATGACATCAAGCAAAGTATGCTTGATGACAAGCACTACTTCCTCAACTTGAAGAGAATGCTATGGTTAGTCGACATCGGTAAGCCGGAAACAGTTTTGGCTATTGCAGATGGTGACCAGAGCAAGGAGAAATCACGGGATGATCCTTTCGGCTTGTTCGCGGCTGTCGAGGAAGGCACGAATCAGGGAGAGAGTAAAGATGACGAGGACAGTAGTCAATGCGAGTCTGATAGCGAGGATATACGTGAGTTATGCCTCATTTTTAATCGTTTTTCTTTTTTTTTTTAATATCGGCTTAGTTTTCAATCCTGTTGTTTAGGGTCTATCATTCCACAAAAAATCCCCCTAACTCATTCAATGAATTAGGGATTAAGGACTCTATAAACAACACAGTACAAACCCGATCCTCGTAAACAAACTTCAATCTTAGAGGAGTTTTCTTTATTTCTTCTTCATAAAGGTGTAAAATTTATTGATATAGTTTTGAAGAGCAATTCTGTTTTCTAACGTTTATGTTAACGTTTAAATTGAATAAAATCCTGAGCAGTTATAAATGGTTTAGTAAATGGCATGAAAAGAAAATCCTTCCGCAAATTTAAATACAAAAATATATATTTTTTTATTTTAAATCAAAGTCGTAATGAAGAGTTTTATAAGATATTAATAAGGGAGCGGGGTAGCTCAGAGTGTAAGCGCCGACAAAGTTCAAGGTACAGGTACGAATCTGGCTGATGACAAGTAATTTTTCATCAGCCGTGGAAAGACTCTGGAGTGGGAAGACCCTTCTGTGGCACACCTAGCCTCTATAAAGTGATTATTCTTAATTAAAATAATTAATCAAGGGGAAAATAGATGGTAGTGCTGGTAATAGATGTCATTTGACCAAAAAAGCTACTAGATCTGCAACATGGTTGTAGAAAAGAAAACGCTCAAATGGTTCGGACATGTTATGAGGATGGACTAGGACAGGGAACCCAGAAAATTTCTTGAGGTAAGACCCACAGAAAAGAGGCCAAGAGGACATCCACGGAAAACTTGGATTGACGATATAACCGAGCTAGGACAGAAAAGAGGCAAGCTGTTGAGTTAATCGAGGAACCTGGCGAGGGACAGGTCCGTCATGACTGCCGTAAATGGTTCGAGGCCTCACCACGCTGAAAGGCACTAAGGAGGAAGACAAAGAAGAAGAATTAAGGAGGAAAACCTGACAGTTGAGCGTTGCTAAAAAATACTGAACCCAAGACCCTTCATGGGTTGTAGTAGTAAAGGTTTTTTAATGAATATGATGTTAATAACAAATCTGAATCGCTTTTTCGTGAAAGAAATGTATTTGACTTGCTTTACAAGAAACATCTTTTGGTTTTTGTATTTTATTATATATCTGAATATATTTAGTACAATCAGAAGTTTGTTTTTCCTTTTTCATACAAAAAAAAAATGAATGATTGATATATAACAATAGAAATCCGTGCAAAGCAATGACAAAAGCAATAATACATAAAAATGTTAAAATTAAAAAAAAAAAATTTTCGCTAGAGTATATTGGCAAGAACCTTCAGACATGGTTCTAACATCAGTCTACTTATTTTCACCAAAAAGGTTTCATTTACATCTGTAACCTTACGTTCGTAACCTCCTCTCGTATTATGTATGTTCTAATTTCATAAAAGAAAAATTCAAGGATTCAGTTTTATGAAATGTTATTAAATTGCTTATTGCAATGAATCGACAATATAATAGTCTATTGCCGTAGATTCATCAATAAAATAAAATAATTATATTGTATATTCCTACAACAATCGATAATAAAAAGTTTGAAATATGAACTGGTTAGATAATCAATTTATTCCAATTTTCCGTATAGGCAAGGTAATAAAAATGTATCTAATATTCTGTTTCACCACTATAATTTCCCTCCTATAAACTTACTTAGGCTGATCGCTCCTGTTAACTTTTCATCCAGTCACATTTTTGATATTTAGGAAGTAACGGAAATATTTAATGTTTGTTAACTAGGAAGTGAAATTTTAATTGTTGCAGCCTTCAGAATGATGGACATGGTGTCTATGAAAGTAAAGATCCTGCACGACAGTGTAGGACACAGAGGGTTCGAAGACGAATGCGATCCTGAGCTGATGGAAACTTTCGCCGAAACCCTCGCGGAGGAGCAGATTCAGAGAGAGGAGCACTTGCAGGAGCTTTTGGATAGTGAGGTCATTGTCGTTAAGAAATATAAGCGTGAGTCAACATTTGTTATTTAAAAGGGTTTCATTCACAATCAATACATGAAGCGTTGCACACATCACATTTATTTAATGAGAAACTATAGCTCGCATGCAGCTAGTTGGAAGCGGGAAAGTGTGAATTTAGCCTCCATTCGCATTTTTTTTTTATTCTTGGAGTTTTGATAGCCCCTTAAGAGGTATAGTATAATTTATACTGTCAAATATAATATAGCACGTATAGTTACTTGGAGTTGACTTCATGATTTGTGCATCTTTGAAAGCTTCTATAAACGAGGCTTTATGCAATCTAAGGCAACCAAGCCACAAGCAGCAGGCGGCCAGTAGTTGTCAGCATCGTTCTATTGCAGCGGATTGGAGCGAATTCTGCTGCAGGGGTACGTACCTTTCACATACCCTGTGGGTCGCTCACTAACTTAATCTTTTAATCTGGATTTATTCCTTTCGTGAACTCACCCGGTGGTGGGACTGGAGTGCAAAGGGAGGGAGATATTTAAAGGTCATATTTTATACTTCTCTATAAAATGTAATGGGTCTGAAATATTTCGTTATTTATTGAATTTAGCCAGAAACAAAACCTATAAAAAAATATACAAGAGTAAATTGTTCCCTACGGTTTTGGTGCCAGTCGAGTTATTTAAACAAAATGAATATTATTGGTTTCACCTTTCTTCTTCTAGTCTTGATAATGTTGCTAGATGTTATTGATAGTGCTGATTTTGCCAGTACTGTGAGGTCGGCAATCTCACTAACTAAACGATTTAAGGAAGTGTTAATAATTTAACAAAGAACTGGAACACGGTGAAACTGAAATATGGTGTATATTTCATTAATATATATTTACTATATAGCATCTCAGGTCACACAAATGAAATGTTTGTAATACTTTATTTGAGGTTATGGAAAGGGCAAATACAACATTTAAAAGTTATTATTACATTGTTTCATAAATATCTCGTCGAATGTTGAGTTTAACCAAAATCATCCCCTATACAAAATTAAAGGAATTAAATATAAAAATGAATAAAATATACAAATTAACTATACAAAATAATTAGCATCATCTTCCCAAAATTTTCTATTACTTTTTTTTCATATAGGCTATAATCATAAAAATATGATTCGGGGTTAATTTAAAAAAAAAAAAAAAAATCAGAGTCCCCATATGGAGAGTGAGCAGAAGATTTTTTTTAGAAATTTACCCATCCTCTAAATAAAAATATACATTACTTGTGGATAATCTATTTATGACAAAACATCATTATATTATTTAATAAAGTGACAAGGGTTAATATAAAGTAAAAAAAAAAAAGAGAGAGACAAATCTTTTTATTTCCCATAAAAATGCAATATCATGAACATTTTTCGCTCCTCGACTTCAGAAGCCCAAGATAAATGTCCCGTTTGCCCCTCTACAGTTACGGCTCTGGTGGGGTTTTCCGGACCCATGGTACCACCGTCTGCAAGTACAAGGGTCCATGTATAAATTGGATTCGATTGAAAATCATGTTTTTTTAAGAACAATTCCTTCGGACATTAAATTAAATATATTAAAAAAATTTTTTTTTTCAAACTTCGCTTGTGTCCTCCCTTACTTCATCTTCAAAACTAAATCTTAAAAGAAAAGAGACCCTTTTTTTTTTTACTGATGTTAATTTAATTACACAACAAAACCTAGACATATGAGTAGCAATTTCGTCCATCTCCCTCCCCTCTAAAAAAAAAAAAACGCTCCCAGATAATTTTCAAAAAATTTATTACTTAAAATTTGTGTATTTTATGATCGAATAATCCGAGGCATGTACATTTCTGAAATACGCAATTGTAGTGATGTGGAACTTTCGTTTTTGAGCGTGGTTGTTTACATACACACAGCTATTTTGCAAAACTTGGTTATTTGGTCTCTTGGAATTCGGACCATAAAACGTTAATTTCAGATGAAAACTCAGTTTAGAAATTTTTCATGATCGCAATACTTTCTTGTACTAAATATTTTATATGTAAATAAGTGAAAGTAATAATATTGAAGTGTAAAGATTTATTCATTCTAAAGCCTAGTATACACCAATAGATCATGTTGTGCGATTTGTCTGTAGACCCTCTTGAGACACCGTTCTTTTGTCTAGAGTCCACATTATGAAGTCAATTTCACAGTTTCATTTCCGCAATCCACCGTGGTGGACATTCCGTTGTGTGGAATGAGTTCCTGCTTAGTGCTGATTACAAGTGAAAGAATGCGAAATCCACTCATCGAGTGTTTTTCTTTCCGCTACCAGTTGAATGAAGTTTTTATAGTATTGATGGTCTTTCCTATCTTCGTCATTTTCACATTGTGCTATGTCAGTCAGAGATTTCAGGATCACTTTTCATTTTACCCGGTTTTTGTAGTCGAGACTCGTAACATTACACAAAAAATAAGAGGCATCTTCAAGTTAAAGCTAGTCTTAGAACCCGTAGACGGGCATTCTATAGACATGTCTACGTAGATAACCTGACACACGTCTCAGAGACCAGAATGGCTGAACATGTCTACTATTGTGGACTAGGCTTAAGGGTAGCATTTCTATCTCCACTGATTTTCAAGTTATAAAAAAAAAATTGGTAATTACGACGTAATATGTCTTAAATTATTACCGGTGTTACCATGGCAAAATTAATCACAGCTGTAAAGATTCCAATCTGATTTATAATAAAATTTTAAGAGTGGTTGTATTTTCGATTGCTGAAGGTGCACATCGGGACTATCTTCACTTTGAAGCAGGATATAGAGAGGTATATGGAGAAAGTTATATGCCTATATGCCTATAGCTTTCCTTCTGTTTAGTGCATTTGCAAAAGATTTTTTAAGGAATCTTATATTAGTTATAACTCGTTATTGTTCAGAAATTGCGGAATAAATTGTTCGGAATTTGTACCATATCATAAAAAAATAGGCAATTTTAATATTGAATGCATTATTCTCTCTCCTCGCGCGGGCTCATTACCGCGTATGGGGAGCGTCCCACGGGTGGCGGATGTGGGGATGGTCGGTGGAAATTCCTTGGAAGTTCCTCCCGGCTAAGTCCGATGGACTCGCTGACCAACAATGAGAGGGGCCCTCCAGACTTGCTGGAGGGAGGGGACCTCCAGACTTGCTGGAGGTAGGGGCCCACCAGACTTGCTGGAGGGTGTGACGTAGGATTGAACGCCCTACTCACATATCTTTAGTTCACCAAACACCACAAAAAGTCATGGATCTCCCTAAGGTAAAACGCTCATTATCCGGAGGTAAACTAGTCCCCCGTTCGGGTCTCCGGGTGGGGACTGCTTTAGGGGATTCATGCCGCAAGTTGAAATATAGGGATTTAAATATTGGTACGTGGAACGTAAGGAGTTTAAACACAGCAGGGGGGCTAAAATCGGTCGCGAAAGAGGTAAATGGGTACAATTTGGATGTCGTGGCTCTGCAAGAGGTTCGCTGGCCAGGGGAGGGCTCGATGAGGGAAGGAAAGTACACTATTTGGTACGGAGGAAGCGGGAATCATTGTTTAGGTACCGGGTTTCTAATTAGGAGTAGATTACTATCCGCTTTGAGGGACGTACAATTCTTTAGTGATAGAATTTCGGTAGCTACATTTCAGGGACGTTGGTTTAAAATCGCATTAATAAACATACATTGTCCGACCGAAGACAGTGACGATGAAGTCAAAAGTGAATTTTACGATAAACTCGAATGGGTTTATGATAAACTACCGCGAAACTACATGAAAATAATTGTAGGTGACGCGAACGCAAAGGTAGGAAGGGAAGAAGTTTATATTCAGACGATTGGTAAAGAAAGTTTGCACGAATATAGTAATGATAATGGGATCCGTCTGATAAACTTTGCCATCTCGAAAAACCTGGTAATTAAAAGTACGACGTTTAAACGTAAGGATATTCATAAATATACTTGGACATCGCCGGATTCGCAAACACGAAATCAAATCGATCATGTCTTGATACAACACAGCTGGCAAAGCAGTATAATCAATGTACGGTCTTATCGCGGAGCAGAATGTGGGTCGGATCATGAATTAGTAATCGCGAAACTTCGACAAAAACTTAATATAAAAAAGAGAAAAGAAAACCGTTTCGATTTTGAGAATTTTAATTTGGAAAAATTAAAAAATCCATCAATTAGAAACCAATTCGAGCTAGATGTTAAGAATAGATTTGAAGCTTTAGAGCTTCCTGACGAGGACCACGAGGATATTGACAAGTTATGGGTAGAGATCAGGAATAATATTAAAGCGGTCGGTAACTCGTGTCTAGGAAAAAAGGAAAATAAGAATAACAAACCGTGGTTTGATGAAGATTGCTTAAACATGTGCGAAAAAAGGAAAGCCGCTAAATTAAAAGCTCTAAATAATCCTAGCGAAGAAAATCTGAAATACTTCCGAATCTCAAAGAACGAAACGACAAAATTGCTCAAAAATAAAAAAAAGGAGTATCTTAAAAATAAAATAATTGAAATAGAAACTAATAGAATCCAAAATAACGTAAGAGACATGTACAAAGGTATAAACAGATCACGTAAATATGTAGGGCCCGTAACGTCTGGAATTAGGGATGATAATAACAATATTCTGACCGATCCGGTTGACCTTAAAAAAGTTTAAGGACCACTTTGACAATATTTTAAATACGGGAAATTATGATCTGTGTCCTCCTTCTGAGTACCAGAGTGCTGAACCGTTGATAGAAGGACCGAGTAAAGAGGAAGTTGAAGTAGCTATCGGTAAATTAAAATCATATAAAGCAGCGGGAATCGATAATATTCCTACTGAACTAATTAAGGCATGCGGAGAAGCTGGAGTTTCTAAAATACATCGGTTGGTTAAAAAGATCTGGGTGAACGAGAAATTACCTGAAGAATGGAAAGAATCTATTCTTATTCCGATTCACAAAAAGGGTCCGAGGACGGATTGTAATAACTATCGAGGAATTTCACTCCTTCCGGTATGTTATAAAATATTCACTTCAATCTTAACCAGTCGAATCACGGAATACCCCGAGGAAATTATCGGAGACTACCAATGCGGATTTAGACGGAATCGTTCGACTATTGATCAAATATTTTCTTTACGGCAAATATTAGAGAAAAAATTGGAGTATAACGGTATTGTTCACCAGCTGTATATAGATTTTAAAAAGGCTTACGATTCTATTGACCGCCAGAAACTGTATAATATTCTAATCGAGCAGGGAATTCCAAAAAAACTAGTAAATCTAGTCAGGATGTGCTTGACGGAGACACTCAATAAAGTCAGAATCGGTAATAATTTGTCCGAAAAATTTGAGGTTCGTTCGGGCTTAAAACAGGGGGATTCTCTTTCGCCTGTCCTGTTCAATTTGGCATTAGAACATGCCATTAGGGAGGTAATGCGTACCGAGAAAGGGTTGGATCTGGGCGGGACAACATCCGTGCTGGGCTATGCTGATGATCTGGTACTGTTAAGCGAAGACGTTGAAACTATAAAACTAAATACGACAACGTTAATGAAAGCCGGTAAAGAACTAGGACTCGAAATAAACGTGGATAAAACAAAATATATGGTTAGCTGCAAAAATGGCGATACTATTGGTGATATCGATATAGATGGTAATATTTTTGAACAGGTAGATAAATTTAGGTATCTAGGTTCTACGATAACTAGAAAAAACGAAATTGAAGAAGAGATTAAAGTTAGACTGAAGGCGGGGAATGCTTGTTATTTTTCTGTGACAAAACTACTCAGTTCGCGCCTCTTGTCCCGAAACTTAAAAATTAGAATCTATAAAACGATAATCTTGCCTACAGTTCTTTATGGATGCGAAACTTGGCCGCTTACATTAAGGGATGAGCAGCGTCTTAAGGTTTTTGAAAATAAAGTATTGCGTAGAATATTCGGACCGAAGAAGGATGAGTTAACCGGAGAGTTCAGACGGTTACACAACGCCGAATTGCGTGAGCTATATCCGGGTAATATAATTGAGGTAATTTCATCGCGGCGAATCAAATGGGCTTGTAAAGTTGTTGGGCTTAGTAACGAGAGAATTCCTAAAAGGTTAATATTTGCTGTGCCGAATGGTAAGCGTCGGAGGGGTAGACCGAAGCGAAGGTGGGAAGATTGCATTAAAGCTGATCTGAAGGGACTGGGTTTGGACGGCGAACGGTGGAAGGAGGTGTGTAACAAGCGATTGGTGGTGTCGGCATCGAACCTTCGGGTTCGCTAAGCCTTATTATTATTATTATTATTATTATTCTCTCTGCACAAAGAAAGATGGAAATGGCGAAACTGAACTGCTTTGACAGTTTTGCGCGTACATAGACAACAAGCATATTAGAAAATAATATAAAAGGACTGTGGTTTTTACCTTTACAAGAAAGGAGGTACTAGGAAATGTAATACCCATCAAGATTCATTCCAGTTTAGTGTACCAAACAAATTATACTCAAGAATCGTAGAAGCTGGAATAAGAAATATTGTCGATTGCCAGAGTGTTATGGATTGAGAAACTCAAGTTGCACATTGGAAGAGAAGTTGAAAATTGGGACTGTCTTCACTTTAAGGCAGGTTATAGAGAAGTCCACATAAGAAAAATAACTCTCTATCTGCTTAGTGCCTCACACTTTGGATTATGCTAATATCTAATTGTCTTTCAGAAAAGTTCGTTTTCTTTTAAGATTCCTTAAAAAATCATTTCAAATGCACTAAACAGAAGGAGAGCTATGAGCTATAACTTTATCGATATACCTCTCTATATGCTGCTTCAAAGTGAAGATAGTCCCAACGTGCACCTTCAGCAATCGAAAATAAAGTGGTTTTCACCATAATAAACCTACATCGTCCTCTTAATATCATCCAAACTGCAATTGACCCCCTTTGAGCAGCATCTTGAAATATTCTGTTCATCTGTCTACTATACATTCATTTAGCTATATAATGGATATAATGGATACTGGTCCTTTTTATCTATTACGAGGTTTTGGCACTTCCTTTCTCGTTCGCTTAATGTACTTTTCCAATTTTCTCGTTTAAGTTCACGTTTTTCCTCATTTTGAGATCAAATACAAACAATCAGTTTTGGTTTATAGAAGAACTTATGACTCATTTCCTGGGAAGTATATAAAAATTTTAATTACTTCTAAGAATCAGTAAATATACAAAACACAGTGTTAAATTGCAAACGTTAAATAAAAAAAAATCAAGATATTTAGCAAAGTATTTTTTTTATTAAGTTTTATTATTATAATTATATCATTTTTACAATTGAGGTATTCTTAAACGACCTACGTATAGAATAAAGGAGGTTAAATTAAAAAAAAATAATAATAATTTTTTTTAATTAATTTTTTTTTACAATTAAATTATTGAATTAATATTTGTTCGTTAATAAAATCAATATAATGTACCAAAAATGTTATTATATCACTATAAGTAAGCCATTTATGGGCACTGAATGGTGTGGTAGAGGCCTGTAGGCACCCACGCCAGTACCGCTTTTCTGCCGCATAAGTGCATTTTCTACGGAACTGCTTAAACATTTGTAAAAAATAATCAGCGTTTTAGAAAGATAAATATATTCTCCAGATGGTTTATTTCAGCATGTTTTGCGTTATTGTAGGCCATTTAATTTCAAACGACGCTTGATTTGTAACTTGAAAAGTTTTTTGTTAAAACAAATTGACTTTACTGGTGTTTTTCATAGCCTAAGCCAATTATTTTTTAATATTTCTTGATGTTTTATTATTCTATAACTATTCAGCTTTAATAAAAGACCAACTATGAGGAAATTAAGCCATATGCTGATTCTCAGTGACCAAAAAACTAACTAAAATCAAAGTCGTCAATCCGCCATCTTTGGACGCCATTTTGGGGCAGTGCGTTCACTTTTTTTTTGTGGGAACATTGGCTTTTTTTTTAATAAATAGTTACAAGGAACACAACGATATGCAATTTATAGGGTTGTGGGGGGGGGGGGGAGGGTGCACGGTAAGGGGGTCTGGCCAGTCTAAATCGAATATAAACGAAATAAGCTATGTCGTCCTATTCTCTGTTACAACACGCCAGATGCCTTTGTGAACTTGTTTAACCTGATGAGGCCAATGAATTTGCAGGATCAGTGATACAATGACTTACAAAATGGAGATAGCAATGTCTAGACAAGTTTTCACATTCGTACAGTGACCCGTGTACAGCACTCTCACACATCTAACCACCAAATCCTTATTAGGGATTGAGTACAGGCATTGACAGTTAACACCTCAGCCTGAAAGACAGAGGTGTATCTGCCTAGAGATAACAATGTTCCCTCAAGATTTATCCCTTCTTCAGAAACCAGCTCCTGATCCTTGTTCCATCAAGGACCCATAAATATAGCAGTTAACAAGATATGTTAGAGTTATTGTCAATCGATACACTTTAGTTAATATCTCTATATTCATCAACTTAAAAGTCGGAGATCATAGCGAGGACCTAATTCCTATCAATGTGATAAAACACGATCCATCTATCTGAAAAGTCGGGGATTTTTATCACGTTTCAAATCGACTTGGGAAGAAATCCTCTAGATCATCAATGAGCCACCGATGAAGATTGATGATTTTTTAATTCGTGTAATCAGTTAACATATAATTACTACGCGTTACATAATAGTATTTTCATCCTTAGTAAATACAGAATAAGTTTTTACTTCTCATATTTTTATTTATTCTATCTGAAAAGTCGGGGATTTTTATCACGTTTCAAATCGACTTGGGAAGAAATCCTCTAGATCATCAATGAGCCACCGATGAAGATTGATGATTTTTTAATTCGTGTAATCAGTTAACATATAATTACTACGCGTTACATAATAGTATTTTCATCCTTAGTAAATAAAGAATAAGTTTTTACTTCTCATATTTCTCCTTGGTAGCATAGCCGAAAGTTTTTACATTCACAATCAATAAACAAGGTAAATTGATATTTTTTTGAAATTTTCAGCGAGATACGAAGATCGTCACAGTCAAGGTTGCGAGAAAAAGAAAAGACTCGAATTGAAATTCCTAAGCCGGCAACTCATAATTGAAAATGAAGTGGCTAAAGAAAAGGGAGAAGTAAAAATTCATATGCATCCCCAAGGTGTTTTCCGTGGCATGTACATTGAAGAAGCTAGTGGTGATGAGAGTACTGAACCAGAAGTGGTTGAGAAGAAAGAGGAAGAACACAAAGATGATGACGAAGATGATGTACCGGATGAGGAAAGTGACATTGGTTATGAAGAATCAGATGAAGAAGATATCGATTCAGATTTGGATCCAAATGAGCCGAAGCCACATATTTGTTATTAATAATTTCAAAATAAAATATTGTGCCTATACTTGAAGCCTTAAAAAAAAAAAAAAATGTTTACACTTATAAAAACAAAAATTCTCTCTCTAATAATCTCTCTCTCTCTCTCTCTCTCTATATATATATATATATATATATATATATATATATATATATATATATATATATATATATATATATATACACATATATAGGGATTTTTATCTCGTTTCAAATCGACTTGTGAAGAAATCCTCTAGATCATCAATGAGCCACCGATGAAGATTGATGATTTTTTAATTCGTGTAATCAATTAACATATAATTACTACGCGTTACCATAACAGTATTACAAGTCTGCTCCAGTCCTGTCTGTCTTTAGCTATTTCTTTCCATTTAGCTGCACACAGCTGTATTGCGTCTTTGTTGATTCTATCTATCCATCTGCTTTTTGGCCTTCCAAGTGGTCTTTTGCTCTATATCGAGGCATTCATTATCAGGTAGAGGCTTCTAAATAGATTGCTACAAGCTACATGCCCCACGCTTCTTAACCTCCGTGCCTTCATATCAAGGGATATTGATTGACCAGTTTCTGTAAACAATCCTTTATTGACTGTTGACCTGATTGACCAACTGTGACCAAATTGGTATTTCTTCTGCGTGTGTTAGAGTAATCTGGTTTGTTATCGTGCGGAGGATTTTTCTCTCAAATCTTTCAACAATTTTTTCTAGGTTGCTGGATAGTGTCCAGGTCTCACATATGTTAGAACTGCCTTCATCATAGCGTTTTACACCCTTAATATGAGATTTTTCAACCTTTTTCAATACCTTTGAAAGGGAGAAGAAAGCTCTGTTTGCACTGATTATACGCTGGTCAATTTCTGCTTGTTGGTCATTCATTGAGGTTATTGCGGAGCTGAGGTATTTGAATGTTCCTACTTTCGGGGAAGATTTTCCTTCTACGCAGATCCTGTTATTGGGGTGGAGTTTTCGGCTTATTATCATATATTTTGTTTTGTCTTAATTTACTTGTAGGCCGATCTGCTTTACCTCTCTTATCAGTCGTAGCGTCTTTCACAATGACCTCTTGATTAGATTCAGGGACAGCTGTATCATCTGCGTATCCAAGGATTTTATGATTCATTCACACGTGGACCCCTCCATTTCCTGTGATGTTCCTCTTATTACCTTCTCCAGTGCTAAGTTGAACAACATCGGTGATCTCCTTGCCGTAAGCCCGTTCGAACTTTGAAGTCTTCAGATACTTTTCTTTGTATTAGGACTCTACATTTGGGTCATTTGTACACGCCTTTGTCTATCTCAAAAACTTACTGGGAACATCCAGTCATGATTTTCCAAAGATAGCTTCTGTCCACAGAACAATAGACTCCTTGCAAATCGAAAAATAGGACGTGGACGTCCTGAGCTACTTCGTTTTTCGAGTAGTTGTCTTAGGATGAAGATCTGGTTTAGCATGCTCCTCCTTTTCATGTATCCAGCTTGGTGATCGCCTATTATATTCTCATAATATGGATATATCTAAATATATATATATATATATATATATATATATATATATATATATATATATATATATATTTATATATAAAAGTTCTGATTACCAATGAACAGAATAGAATAGAATAGAAAATAATTTTATTCTGGGACGATGTCCCTTCAGAATAACAAAAAAGTACAGAAATTAAAATTTTACATCTGGCCAGAACAAACATAAAAAGTAGAGATAAAGATAAATCAGTAAAAAAACAAAAAAAAAAATATTAGTTGTACATAATATATAAAAAATAAAATAAAATAATCTATATACAAAACTCTCGAAACCATACTAAGATACTTAAAACTATGTACAATGGTAAAATATAAATAAACCCTATTAGAAACAATACAAAATATATATAGAGGAATGTACCTCGGAAATATTGTCTTCGAATGGAGGGGAAGAGCCACTCTAACTCAGTGTAGTGGTGAGAGACATGGTAGTATCTCGGAGCACCAATTACAAATCTCACGCAACTGTTCATTAATCTTTTCAGTCTGTCACGGAGGTCCACCGAGAGTCCATCATACACCACACAGCTGTAGTCAAAGTGGGAGGAAGATGAGAGAGGAAACGAGGAGTCTACGCGTATGTTGAGGTAGGAGATAGCGGAAGCGATGGAATAGTTTGAGGGTAGAAATTGTCCGTCGGGAGATGTGAGAAATATGGTGATTCCAGGAGAAGGTTTGATCAATAAATAGTCCTAAATTGTTTACAGAGAAGTAGAAGGAGATTGGCTGGTCACCAAGGTTTAGTATGGGAAAGTCGGTATAGGATCTAATTAGGAGCTTGGAACCAATAGCAATGGCCTGAGTTTTTGAAGCATTTAACCTTAATCCGTTTAAGTTTGCCCAGGTACAGATTCTATCTAGGTCTGCTTGGATCTTAGTAAATGCCACCAATAGCTCAGGGAGAGAAAAGGATAGGTATATTTGAGAATCGTCTGCATAAAGGTGGTGGGAACAATGGATAATTGAGTCATGGAGGTCATTAATATAGGAACTAAAAAGGAGAGGAGATATGCTAGATCCTTGGGCAACTCCAGAGGATAAAGGCAGGTAGGCAGATAGTAGTTGATTAGAAATGGAGACTGCTTGGGTGCGTTGTGAGAAAAAAGATTGGAACCAAGAGATGGAACTATTGGAGAAGGAAAGTGATTTTATTTTGTTGAAAAGGATGGGATGGTTAATGGAGTCGAAGACTTTTGAGAAGTCAAGAAGTATAAGGACAGTTAATTGATTGCAGTCTGAACATCATTGGTAATTTTGATTAAGGCGGATTGTGTGGAGTAGCCGGGACGGAAACCAGATTGGAGAGGATCAAGTTGGTTGGACTTTTCGAGGAAATTGGAAACTTGGGATTGCACCAATCTTTCTAGGGGTTTTGAGAGATTGGAAAGAATTGAGATTGGGCGAAAGTCTTCGGGAGAGGATGGATTAGGCTTTTTATTTAAAGGGAGTACAATAGCTTTTTTTCCAAGAGGAAGGGAATATTGAGTCCTGTAGGGAGAAATTGTAGATGAAAAGGAGAACTGGGAGGATTTCGGGGAGACATAATTTTATCAATTTGACAGGAATGCCATCTGGTCCTATGGAATTGGTGTGGGATTTCATTACTGCGGTTAGTAAGTCAGTCGGGGAAATGTCGGAGAAATAAAAGTCATTCATTCATTTAATGAATGAATGAATGTGGTGTTGAAATGTAAAAATTGGAATAATTCTATGGAATAAGTGTGAGAGTGAGGAATGTCCAGCGGCATCCTTTCCTATCTTGATTTTTAATAATTGTAGTTAGTGGAGGAGACCCCCATGCACCTTCTTTAGAGCCTCTTACGGTGCCACACTGCACGGGTGTTATCGGGCATGGTAGCACGGGCTGATCTACGGTGGGGGGGAGGGCTTTGGGACTGAAATCCCCTTAACTCAAAATGATAAAATATGACCATGTGTTATGGAAAAAAATATAAAAAATTATCTCTTAATGTATTATTGTTCGTGTAATTACATTTAAAAGGACTTTAGGAATCACTTAAACACTATTTTATATAGGTAGTTAGTTTCTTTCTTTTTTTCCAAAGTAATTTTCTTTATTTTTATGAAAAAAAAAAGCTTTTGGGCTGAAGCCCTCTCCATAATTAAACCCTGGATCCGCTAGTGCATGTTAGTTGTAGCCATGCCTTGGAATTTTTTTAATTTTTTTACACTCTTATTCTACGACTATTTTACATATAGATTGTTGGAAAAAATATTTATAATTTTGATCTTATTAGCAATCGCCTAATAATTAATAAAAGTATTTACTTCTAATGGTGGAAGTTGTATAATATTCTAATTGGGTAGGGAATATAAAAAAAAGTTAATAAATCTAGTAAGGATGTGCATAATAAGAAGCAATCTAGCTGTGCCGCTAAGTGTGGTGAGCTCAGATTCCTTTTGGACATAAGATAGAAAAACAGAAGTTGAATTAGTGCCTAACTGATATTGTTGATAATAATTAAATCATCTTTCTTTTATTTAGAACTGGACTGCAAATATGTTTTGCTAAAGTCTAATAGTATGTGTTGGGCAGAATCAGACACTGCAAGAAAATCTTAAGACAACTAAGTATGAATCGGTTTTTAAATATGTACTGATCTGTTCTATTCTACTATATATGTATATATATTAGTATTATATATATATATATATATATATATATATATATATATATATATATATATATATATATATATATATATATAGTAGAATAGAACAGAACAGAAAATAACTTTTTTTTGGAACGAAGACTCTTGAGAATAACAAATCGTACAAAAAATAAATAAATAATTCTTATATCGAATGGCTCATTACATTAAATAATATAAGAATAACAATGAAGTAGCTACGTACAAAACAAATAAAACTCTTCCAACTAAAATATGATAAAACATAATCTCTGCTTAGAATGAAAAAAGTATGAAAAGAAAAAAATTAATCTCTAATAACTGAGCCTAATACTCTTAGCTTAAACAGTACCAATATCTGTTGGATGTCCCGTCCGACTCCAACTGAGCATAATAGAAGAACTAAAAACTTTAGGTTTCAAAGTGCGCCAAATAACAAATGTTCTAAAGGAGAGTAGGGAACAGCCAAAAGTAAAAGTTCCTCTAACTCTATTTTTTGTAAACCTGGAACTGACACCGGGGATCGAAAAAATTTACGCAGTTACAAGATTATACTACCCAAGTGTAAAAGTGGAGAAGCAGTATCCTGGGAGGAATATCATTCAGGGCCATAATTGCCAGGCGTATGGCCACACGAAGACGTATTGTCATCATTTGCCGTGTTTTATAAAATCCGGTGGACAACACAAAACTGGTGAATGCACAAAATCTAAACAAGAACCTGCAGTCTGTACTTTGTGCCACGAAGGACATCTGGCAAACTACAAAGGCTGACAGATATACAAGAATATTAAATCGAGA